CCTCTATACTCTCCTAATTCAGACGAATTCAACTGCTTAACATATGCTTGAAGTATGTTAGTCTTGTTTCAAAATAGTATTTGGAATTTTATTTCAATAGGAAAGAGAGTAATGTCCCTGGAAGCTGGTTGTTATTGAGCGGCATGAGGGTATATACAGTTATACAAAAATGTACTGTACTACGTGTTTTTTACTGCAAATTGGTTGCAGCATATTGATTGGCATCTATAATATCTCTGAAAATACCTGAAACTTTCTTCATGTTGTCCTCCAATGACATCAATTCAACAAGCTTTGGATAAAAAATAATGCTGTACTAAAAATCTGGTGAATGAGTACAGCATTTACAACTAGGCGTAGTTGCCCATGTTACGTCTAAAAACATTTTTTATAGTTCTGTTTCTTTCAAAGTCTTTTGTTTAGATACCTGCATTATGTAAGCAACAATATGTGCATATGAAAATTTGCTTGTAAAAATATGCCTGTGGATGTATATTTTGATACATTCTTTGCAAGCTCCTGTTACAAACTGATCATTACTCAACTCTTTTCAATTGGCAACGTTGTTCCTTGGTTGTCCTTGTTAATTACTCCATTAGTTTTTTTTTGACATTTCAATACCTTGAAAAAGCAACATTCTTCTCTGATTTTTTATAGTGATTTATTCACTAATTTCCTTAGGTACATATCATGTGTTGTTGGCTGTCCAGTGGAAGGAGCAGTATCTCCCTCGCAAGTCGTTTATGTGGCAAAAGCACTTCTTGACATGGGGTGCACTGAAATCTCCCTTGGCGACACGATTGGCGTTGGGACTCCTGGTAATGCTTAAAACTCATGTTCGCTCTCTCTCAAACATACACACTCCACATCTATATATGTATGTGTGAGCGCGCATGTGAATTTCTCTCTCAAATACTTGTGCAACCACCCTTCTGTAGAAGTTACATGAATACATAATCTTTGTCTAGTGATAGAAGAAATGAAGATTTATCTTCAATATTTGTCCATTAGGGAGATTTTCTTGTTGGGCATGTTGGATAGTCTCCCTTTTCTCTGTCGTTCTAAGATTTCCTGTCATATGAAACTTGGTCAATCAATTTCACCACCAAAATATATATATAATATATATATACATATACATATACATATACATATATATATATATATATATATATATATATATAAGAGAGAGTGACAAAAGGACTTTTTGGCAGTTTTTTGTACCTTTATAATTGGGGAAAAGGCATGTGTGGGTGTAGAAGATAGATTTTTCTTATTTTTGGAAACTAGAATTCTAGGAGTTAGAATGTACCGCCATCAGCTCTTCCATGGTTTGCCTGATAAGCACGTCTATTGGCTTACAGAGCTTGGCATTGCTAACCATTTAAAAACCGCAAATATTGTTTTTACATGTTCTCATCCTTTTACATTTTTCATCATGGCGCCAGCATTGAAATTGTAGTACCTTTTAGCAGTGTAAATTCATATTACCTCGGACATTCATCAGTAGCCAGCTGAAACTCTTGGTGCATTTTGACACTTTTCTTGTCTCGTTAATATAATGGAAGACAGTCTTTGTAGCAGGAAGGGCATTCGTTAAGAAGAAAGACTTTAGTACTTGTTAATATAACGGAAGAAAGACTTTGTAGAGCAGGGGAGGACACTAGATATTAGTACCATAACATTGGGTGGATGCCTAAGACTGATCTTTATAGTCATAATATAAGAAGAAAACTGAGGGTGGGAAGATATGTTCTTTCTTCTTCATTTTTTATTCTTTCTATTTTCTTATTTTTGATGAGTTGGATGTTTGGGTGGAATTAAAATATATAAGCTGTTCTTCAACTGCACTTGCCAATCATATATTTTGTGTGAAATTTTCCTGGTTTCAATTGAACATGATTATATGCACTGGACAAGTCATTGCTCACGCCATTTTCATAACCTGAGGAGAAGAATCCCTTGGTCAAACAAACCTGAGGATATCACTTTTTGTCTGTTCAGTGTTAAATTTTTGTGGTTGCAACAACTTGTAGTCTTATTTTGGTATGTTCCATTCGTCGCTCTCCTCAATGTCAGGTACCATTGTTCCGATGCTTGAAGCTGTCCTTGAAGTTGTACCTGTAGAGAAACTTGCTGTCCATTTTCATGACACCTATGGACAAGCTCTTTCAAACATTCTCATATCACTGCAAGTATGCTGTAATCTTTTATTTTGATTTCTGCATTGGAAGCTCATATTTTTATTCCAGTTTTCTACAAGAGTTACACTGCTTATCTGAAAATGAGTATTATGTTTATTTTGAGTATTTGAATATGTGTCCACTTGTTGGATGGTCATTTTGTACTATAAACTAATTATTTCCAATTAATATTTTACTCTTGAAAATTTGTTGTAACATATTTTCACAATATTCTTAAATTTCAGCAAACCACTAAAGCATTCTCTTTAAGCTGTTATCTATCACTTTATCTCCCTGGTAACTGATGCCCCAATCATACCATTCAAGGTGGAGTACTATTTTGCATGTACATGTATTTTCTATTCTAGGCCATGAAGTCATGAACTACGTGAGCGACTGGATCAGTTGAGAGTTTCCAGTTAGTTGATTAATCACACTGGTACAACTAATTTAGTTTAACACAAGTTATTTCAGTAAGGATCATTATACTTTTTGTTTAATCATTTTGCTACTCCCCTGGTTGTTATATGTTTTTCTTTACCATTCTGTTTTAATCATTGGTTCTGGTGAAATTTTGTCAATGAATAGTCTTACGTTGATGATATTCATTGGGCAGATGGGATGATTTTTTTTTTTTTTTTTAATTTAACTTGATTCCTTGTTATTTATCATATTATTTGTCTTCTGTGCAAGTGCTTCCATATGTTGTTGTACCATGATTTAGCCAATGAGCTTTCTCAAACTTGAAGTTAATCCTGAGAAAGAACCAGTTATCTGTCCTTTTTGCTTGTAGGCATAAATCACTGTCCTGAATTTTCTTTTTACTGTTGAGTTAGGCAGACTTTTTCAATTCCACTACGACACTGTAGAAAATGGCTAAAGCTGCTCTCTACACATGATCTTCAGATATTTTGGAGCTGCAAGAATTACATGGTACTAAAATATTGATGCAGCTTGCCGCCAGATAGATGACTAAATAAATTATCAGTCCTCCTTGTTGGTTATTTGTGTGAACTTCCAATTTACCTCAAACTTGGCAGTAGGTGTAATATCTCTTTTGCATGTATGCCAAAGAATAAAAATATTTCTGCAAAGCAGCAGGTTCTTGTCTAACAGTAGTTTCTTTACAGATGGGGATCCGTACGGTTGATTCTGCTGTATCTGGTCTCGGTGGTTGTCCATATGCTAAAGGTGCTTCTGGAAATGTTGCTACTGAGGATGTCGTCTATATGCTCAATGGACTAGGAGTGAAGACAAATGTTGATCTTGAGAAGGTCATTTTAGCTGGGGATTTTATCTGCAAGCATTTGGGTCGATCTCCTGGTTCTAAGGTTGCTAAAGCACTGAGCAGAATTCCAGAAAATGCCTCAAAGCTGTAAGGTGCTTCTGACACCTCAAAAGTGTAGTTTTAACTTGTGCATCCAAGCTGAAAGAGGATATCTGGAGCAACTTATATCCTGCAGATGCTACAATCCAAATTCAGCAGAATGTTCTTCGTTCTCATCCGACTTGTGCAGTCCTCACTAGCAATGATCTGCATGCCATACATGAAAATCTCAGGGTATATATTCACCATCATTTGTGGAAACTAATTTCGAAGAAACATTTTAAAATCTGTCTGCCTTCTGTTTTCTTGGTATGCAACGGCGGATTCGCTCTTGCTGACTGATTGTATGTGCAAAAGTCCTGTGATATTGACATTGAAGTTTTTCTTTGCAATTTATGTCACTCATATCAGGTACATCTGTAAGTTCTGGATGTGTTCTTTAGAGTTAAAAACTACTATTGATTATCAGTTCTAGTAAGGGAGTCAGCTATGTTCTCCATGCAATAAAATTGAACTTAATTGATTACATTATTAGCACTGCAAGATGATCAATTACTCCAGTGTATCTGCATGTTTTCCTTTGGCCTTTTTTTACTCTTTTCTGCATTAATGCTTGGTCATATATGGACATAAACTAGCCGTCCGGACTCTGCTTTCATTTCATGGTATTTGCCTTTCATAGCTACAAGATTCTGGAGATTGATTGTTTGCTTGTGGATTTTTTAAAAAAGCTACTGTAAGTTGGGAAACACATTTTTCAGAATCTCAAAATTTTCCACCATATCAAATATATTTCTCTACAACGCTGGTAGCGGGGAGGATGGCCATTGATGGCTCGTACTAAAAATTGTACTTTCGCGCGTAATGATAGAAAAATTAGCAAGCTTCCAAAAAAAAAAAAAAAAAAAACCATTTTGAGCAAATTTACTATTTTGATGCATTGATCACATCTACCATTGCGGTCAAACTCCACACAAATCTCGCATCAAGCATTTGCCAATTATAAAAAGACAGTAAGAGTTTTTACAAGGATTTTTTTTTCGCGTGGCCAGTACATTATTAAAAATTTTTATTAAAATATTACTGTAACATTTATTGTAATTTGATATATATGAGATCAAAATGTTATTAAAAATTGAAAGAATTATTGAAAAGGATATTTATAATGCACAAAATTTTTTTGAAATAGATCAATCCAAACAGAAAAATATATACCATTGATATTTTTTCTCGAGATACATTTTGTCTGGTTATAGTGTATTCTTCAAGATGCGATTATACACCTCTAACATCATGAATAAATTAGGAAATTAAAGAAAAATACTATAGGTTCACCGGACTAAGAAAATATTTTGCAATTCCTATTGTGCCATGTAAAATAAATAAATAAAAAGAATAAGAGTCAGCAAGTAATATGTGCTATTCTAAAGCCACAACTACTCGTCCCACATCGACTAAAATGAACTAGACAGCAACCTTTATATATATTTGCCTTGGCTGGACCGAACGTCCCTTCGGGGACATCCGATAAAATTGGAACGATACAGAGAAGATTAGCATGGCCCCTGCGCAAGGATGACACGCACAAATCGAGAAATGGTCCAAATTTTTTCGGCATCTTTACCCAGCCCCACTGATTCCACTTCCCGATTCAGGTTTTTGTGCTTTGACTTTCTGCATCGATTTTTTTATGTGGGTGTTTGAAATAATTGGTTTTGTCCTGTTATCAGCTTCATCTTCTTAACCTGGGTTTTCCCTTTATTTAATCCAATAGCTTACTGATTTTTCTGATATGGGATTGCTATGAAAGATGCTCTTTTTAAAAGTTGTATTGTTGGATTAGTTATAGGTTGATAAATAGATTAATTCTGGTTTAATTAATTTGGACATTACAGAGGAAGTAACCAGGCTAGCTCCGAAAATCCTTAGGGGTGGGGTGTGTGTGTGTGTGTGTGTGTGTTTTTTTTTTTTTTTGGTATTTTGTTCATGTTTGGTAGGCAGTTTTCCTTGTTATTGATGGTTTTATTGGAAGTGAACTTTGATCGATGGTTCTTGTTTGTCTTTACTTATCAGGAGAGACTATTCTCATTACTGATGATCTACATGATTATTTAGACTGCCTCCAATGGTGTATTTATTTGAATATTTTCTTTTCTGTTTGTTATTTTGAAGATTCAGTGTTTGAAAATATGGTATCGATTTGCGTAGCTAACGGAGCCTTCAAAATAATTGATCCATTCAACTCCTCAAGAGTTGATTTCATGAAATAGCAGGATAAATTGCAGTTCTCTGCATCAGCCGTCCTTTCTGTATACTTGCTATCAAAGTGGATAACATTAATTAACATTCTTGCTTCAGAACTTAAAGATTAGAAAATCATTGTATCTGTTCTGAAGGTTGGCTTATTAAGCAGCTCTTCTACATGATGTTCAGAAATGACAGTCTCTCGTGGCTGTTTGGTCTGATGATTTAGCAATTTATGGCTTTTCTTCCTTGCTGTTACTTTTTGATATGAGAGGAAGTGATATTGTATGTTTTCTGCAGTGGGGAGAGCATAAGAAGACCGTCTTATGTAAATATGAACTTGCTTCTGCTTGTTTGAACTCCTTTCTTGCTTAGTTTTTGTCGAAGTTCTTCATCACTGGTTTATATTAATTGCCTTCACTGAATTCAAGCAAACAGTTAGATTGTCGCAACTTGATTTCTTTTAACTGCTTATCTTATATCTGGTGCATCGATGGAACAACAAGTTTTGGAAACATCAATAAGCTATGACATTTCTCCTTGGAAATGAACAGTTGAAATTAATTGAAAGAAGTCTAGAGATCGGTCGTTGTTCTTGGTCTGAAGCCCTTTTCTGAGTTCAACATTTACAGTTAATGTTCAATGGACATTTAAAATAAGACTACCAACATGGTGGAAAATGGCTCATGTTGTTCTCTATATCTAGGTTTTAGCTATTTTTAAAGATGCAAGACATGTATGTGTTCTGTATTAGAATGAAGGTAGACTAAATTTTTTTAATGAATCCCCGTATTTGAGTAATTCATGTAAACTTTCGACTAACCTCAACTTGGCACTAGATGTAGTATATCTTTGCATATTTGCTTTATATTGAAGCTGTTGCAAAGCAGAATGTCCTTGTTTAAGGGCAGCTTTGTTTATTGATTGGATTTTATGGAGTTGATTCTGCTGTATCAGGTCTTGGGGATTTTCAATACGCTAAAGGTGCTTTTTTATCCTCCCTTGCAGGGGAGGGATGCGATTTAAGAAGTGCGGAGGGGAAAGGGGGATTTGAGCCCAAGACCTCTAATCATTAGGGCCTCAACCTCAGCCACTAGAACAGGGCCTCCTCTAATTCTAAAGGTGCTTCTGGAATGTTGCCTCTGATGATGTTGTTTATATTCTCAGTGGACTAGGTTTGAAGACAAATGTCAATCTTGTGGTGGTTATATTAGTTGGGAATTCATCTGCAAGCATTTATGTTGGCCTAAGGAATATACCTGCAAATGCCTTGAAGCTGTAAGGTTTTTCGGATGCCTTGAGTGGAGTGGTAACTCGTGTGTCCAAGCTGAAAGAGAATATCTTGGTTTTGGGAGGTTGGCTTTATTATCAGTTCCATGCAATTTAGTGGCAAAGGATTTATTGGTCCATGAAAATCTCAATGTATATATTTCTCATCATTGCAGTAAAATAGCAATAGTGAAGAAAACCTTTTTATTTTTTTCTACCGTCTATGGCGCATATATATACAGAAAAGTTCAGTAATGCTCATGTAAAAAGCCTTTTCTTTTCAACATTTCTGAATGAGTACATTATTTTTGGAGCACCAATTTGTAAATCAACCAACATTCATGGTCAGAATGATTAATGCTACTAATTGAACTTAATGGAGTACATAATCTGCATTTCTGACTCCTCAGAAACACTGCAGTATGTTCAATGAATTGTTGTTTAAGAATTCCTTAGTTAGAACAGAATGATTTGATCTATGTCAATACTTTTGTTTGCTATGTTGCATTGGGAAGTGTAGATTTGTCTGATTGTGCTGTAGATATTACAGTGCTGTAGACACTCCAGTATGTCTGATTTGTCTGTTAGCTTTCTGTTTTTATATCATAACATAACATACAATGAGATGTTAAAATTCAAATGTTTGATCTTGAATCTTGTGAAAGAGCTTGCTCAAGTGGTGTAGCACACTTTTTAAAACTTTAGCATCCTTCACCAGATCAAAGATATGTTTCTATCTAGTTGTTGGAGGATGGCCATTGATGGCTCTTATCCAAGCAGGAGAGTGCTTTAAACCTGTGTAGGCATTGAGTAGCTCATTCGGCTTAAGAATGTACAAATGATATATCAAGCTTCCTTGCCTGTACTTTGATTACGCCAGGTTGTTTTCTTATATCAAGATAGGCTCTGTCCTTTGATTTCTTTTGAGTTTTTCTCTAAGCAGTTGTCTTGTCTTCAAGTGGTTTTATGGGTACTGAACTGGAGCTTGCTAAAGCTGCGTTTACTCTTTCTTGATTTTATCATAGATGCCCATACATGTGATTCTTTACAATAAAAAGGAGAAAAAGGTTGGAGAAACTTTTCTAAACAAAGATATGGACAAATCTAAGTTAGCATTTCTGGGTTCAAAGGATCCTCTTTTTGGCCTACATATTTGTTTGGTAACCAAACTTCCCCAAGTGATTCTTGGCATTGAAAATGTACCACATAAATGACAAGTTGTCTTCAATGTTATTATCCTTTTGTCCAAGTAGCAAAATGTACATCCATGCTCCAGCAGATGTCCACCTTGAAAGCACAATCAGATAAAATCCATTCCATTTTTGTAGGATGTAAAAGCCAATTCCAAAGGCCATGCATTCTTTTCCCCCAAAATTTTGTTTCTATAAGTGGAATAAATAGTGTTGGCTGGACTACTTTATGTTCTATATCCTCAAAATATCTTTTCCTTTTTTTTTTTATCCTCATAATTTTTCATTCAATAAAATTTTTACTACTCTATTTTCCCTTCTTCAAGTTGGAATATTTACATGAAAAGAATTTATTCAATCAGATACTGTTCATTATTACCTCACTTCATCTAGAACTTGACTTGGATAAATATCTATTGTTGTATCCATGAATATTCTTCACTTCTTTATAAGGTGTAAAAGTATCCTCAAAACTGGATGATTTTGCAATCTTTTGGTGATGAGGTTTCGGATTAGTTCGTAGGGCGGCTTAACTTTATATAACTACATTTACTCCCCATCTATTTTTATGAACTAAAATTATCATTGTACTAACACAGAAATCCAATATAGAATGGACTAAAACAATATAGATAATTGACATGCTAAAACCAACATTGAACATGAAGTATGTATAACGGTTGGAATAACTTCTTTAAACAATTGTTGGGGTTGATCCAATAGTCAGGAGAGGGCTCTTAGAATCTTCTTCGCTGTCGAATTCAGAGTTTGAATTCAATACTTAACACAATGGGACGAGAAGGGCATAAGAAAGTGTAAGAGTGTAGGGGAAAAAAAAAAAATTCTTTTAAGTGCGCCGCCCACGTGATATTTTTCAGAGTAAATTGCCTATTATTTGCTTCTTTGATTAATTCAGTTGACTTTAATACTTGAACATACTTTTGGAAGACTGTCCAATTCTTTCGGTTAAAAAGCTCCATTTACTGTATTAAAATCTTCTAGTGTTGTTAAATCTTGGGATCCAGTGTGTGCTGTATGTGATTAACAACCCTCACTGTTCAATCATTACCTTTAATTAAATTATGCCCAGATAGTGACAATTGATGATGTTAGCTAACCTTGTTTTGCTTTTCTGATGGAATGTGTTTTACCATTTTTGGTGAAAGCTGGAAGAACAAGATCAATGAAATGTTAGGTTAAAATTGGCAAATTATAGGAGCCAAAAATTTCAGGCACATTACTTAGATGATCCTCTGCTGTTTTGCACCAGTACGAATAGTATATATCCTAGGCTTATGAGTGTCCGAATCTGATAAACAATCTTGTCCGGTGTAGCATAAAAAAGGATTAATCTTCTATACACTGATAGTATATACATTTTTACCATTTGATGCATAACACATAATCCGAATTTGAATTTGAAATTCAAATTTTACATATATGTCATATATCCAACCACGACAGTGTATACAAGATTTACTCTTAAAAAAAACACTTGATCTACTCAAGCCAATAAATTAATTCATAAAACTCAATATTATGTTAATTATGAATGAACTTTTTAGGAATAACAAAGAAACAAATAAAAAAAAATAGAATATAATTACTTGAAAACTAAAAGATGACGATTACCGTAATATTATTTCGATGATACTTCAAGGATTTTTTTTTTTAATTTAAGTTGATGTCCCCTGTCACATTTAAATTTGATTTGAGGGATTTTGTTTTGGCAAAAGAGAATTAATTATTACTACATGGTTATTTACATTCAATTGTAAATTGTGATTGCTTACATTTCTTGAGGATGCATTTCACTTATTTTATTTTAATTTATTTTATTTGTTTGGGCGTGGAGTATCGACTAATAGTTTTTCGACAGCTATCACAGTAGTGTGACGTCAGCATGATTAGAGATGGCTTAAAAGTTCATTCTTTTTAACTAATCATGCTTTTTAACAACTTTTTCCATCAGTAATCAACAGGTAAGATGCTAATAATGACGATCCTTGGTCACCTACTTGTCCCCCATGAGAACAGCCACCAAATAGAACAGTTGAATGCTTTTTGTGCATGGAAAATTAATACAGGATTTTTAGCTTTAATTCCTGGATTTATAAATTTATTGGGCTATTATTTTTTTTTTAATATAAGACCATGGTTTAGTATATTTTCCCTGGCTCAATATAGGTAATTGACATCCTAAGATAATTGACGAGGAATATCAAAGCAGAACATGTATCTCTTTTAAAAATTTTTTGGGAATAATTGCATCCAGATTTTTTTTTTTTTTAGAAAAAGAAAGAAGTAAATACAGGTTGCATCAGGAAAAATGACTACAAATCCAGCTGGCATTTTTGTTTTTCAGTTTTAGTGTAGACTATCAAATTTGTACGTCTTCCTGCTTAAATATTTTGTTGACACATTTTTTTATTAATCTTTGTACTTCACATACATCACCACGCAACTATAAAATATCCCGTTTTCAGCAAAAAGCTTTCAAAAACTCCAATTTAAACGGGCTTGAGATTGAATGGAAAGAGCTTAGAATTGTTCAAAAGGGCCAATGGCCAACAAACTGCTCTCTTACATCTCATAATGGTCGTTGCATCCTAAGATTGAATGTCTATTATATTGCTTTACTTTTTCTTCTTCTTCTTCTTTTCTTGTGTTCTTTTTCTTTTTTTTGAGGCCAATTTCATGAGAGGAGATGAAGGAGGAACAATCCCAAAGGAAATTTGGGAGCAGCGAAAAATGAGTCCCTTTTCAAGGATGTGGTAGAAAGACATTTGATCATCAAGATATATATCTCCAATTTACTATGGTCACCCCTCTTTAGATATAGGTCTTTTGTTTTTGTTGACACAAACTTTGAGAGCCAAGAATTCCTTTATATTTTGCTATAGAAGCTCCCACATATTTCTAGTTTTTTTTTTATTATATGTGATTCAGCTCTTCCTCAAAATCCAGTTTTTTTTTTTTTTTAGTAGCCATATTTACTCTTTCAAAATGTTACCAAAAGTTTTACATTGCAAAAAAGTCCAAATATTATTAATTATAACTTTTACCATACAAATACCCTAGTTCCACTTTTTTTTTTGTGATTTTTTTAGTCTCAAAGATCTTAAACACTAACATCACTTTTAAAACTCGCAAAGCGATATATTAAACGTAGTTCTATTTCCACAATTATCAAAAAAAAAAAAAAAAAGACTTAGAGATCCTGAGTTCAAATCCCCCTTCCTCCCTACTTCTTAAATCCCACCCCTCCCCTATCAGAAAAAAATTTTAAAAAAAATTAAAGTCCAACAATCAACTTAATGAATGTAGAATTGTTGGTGATGATTCTTAAGGGCAAAATTAATCTGTAATCCCTAAATCTCCATGAATAAAAGAAGCAAATCCACTAGTAAAACTCTTGATTAGTTTTCTTTTGTTTTCTTCCTTTGTGGCCCTTGTGTACATCGTACCATAACGCCTTTGAATTTTGAATGGGATTCATCAATAATTTTGTACTGTACTATATAGTATGGAGCTTAGAACCAAACAAAAACCAAAGGCGTCTTTCAATCATTTAATGCGCCCTATTGAGACAGACAATGTCACGTTTGAAGAAAATAGTGCAGTGGCCGGGCATCAGGGAATGGGACTTCAATTGCTTTTTTACTATGCAGGGTATGGTGAAATCTTCAACAAATATTTTTTTTGTACGGTTTATTAATCAAGTCGTGTACACCATTGCAAGCAGGACGTGAATATAATTTCCACTTCTTTTTTTTTTTTTTTGTTTTTAACAAAACTGATGATGCATAGACCGCCTTAGAAATCTTTACTAGCTAGTACTAATATGATATAAGAAAACACATCTGAGATTGGATATTATTTAGTACATCTCCATCTAATATCACCCTTCAAAGAAATGCAACTAAAAGGTTAAGGATTTTATGTTCCTTATTTTAGAACCAGAAAGAATAATGGAATGCCAAATTGGTTCTCATAAGCACCTCTCTTCCTGATTTTTCTACTGAAAATATGCAACATGCAATTCATCAGATGGGGAAGGCTTGGTGTTGGTATGAAAATATTTACCAACTGCATATATTGCAGTTAAAACGTTTAAGAATCAGACCCTAAAGAAAGTATGTGAGATTTTGTGGAAATTTTTAAGGCCGGTTTGGATTGAAGATTTTATGAATT